GAGTAACAATCACGTATAAACAAGGGCCTAAAGTTAGCCGTTACTATCGGTGGGTTTATTTTAGTGCTTCTATCCACAGGCTACCGACTCCGATGACACCTGCCGCCGCCGCCGCCACCGCTGCGAAAGAAAAAGAGGCAGACATTCTCAGAAGCTCCGGCTCGTGTCAAACACGATGCGGGCATTTTCAAAAGCCAGACAAGGAAAGCGTTCGTGGCTATTGTGAATCGGACGAATCGGCGGTGCAGCGGTGCAGCGTAACACACCGGTCCTCATAAAACAGTCTGACAATGTCGCTGTTGCCCTCGAGTGAGCTGTAGGACTCTCCATCAGAAGCTGCGCGGAGATTCAGCAGCTGTTTTCTCGCTTGAACGTGCGGTGACGCCACGAGTCGTAATCTTTGCTATGCCACCGTGCGCCAAGAAATGATTCTGGAAATGAATCGAGGAGCCGTCCGGCCAAGTGTGAAGGGCACGAGGAGTCGGATCAGCCTCTGGAACACGGAGCCAGTCAATCGTCATCAGGCTGGTTGCTGCTATACGGCAACAGACTGTGACGCTTCGTGTTCGGCCGCTCGTAGAAACATTCGTCTTGCGACTGCTTCGACGTCACGAGAACCGAGTTTGACGCACAACCCCGCAATATGTTTTCTGACCGGGGTTGCGAATCGCAGGGAGAACGAAAATATTGCGAAATTTTTTCCCGTTTTCCTTTATATACCGCGCACTAGCAATGTAGCGCCAACACGTTCAAATTCCATGAATATCTTTCGATTTAAAGCTTTCGTGACTGCAGGGAAGAACAGGTCTGTCGAGAAGACAGAGTCTCTGTCTTCTCGATAGACCTGTTCTTCACCTGAGGACGGCTGCTTGCGTTGTGGCCCAAACATCGTGAGAATTATTTTATGTTTTATTTTTATTATTTTATTATTTCCATTCTACGTGACTTTACCGAAAGAACCAAGAAGATGAATCCCTGAATATCGTCGCGCGCGCGCACACGAACATCGATGTGCAGCAGCGGTCGGATAGGTGATCAGGCCACTGCACTTATGAACCTGGACCGGAATGATTTGCGGATTTAGATAGAGATCTTAATTATTTACTCATGAGCTCATGATTTAGTGTGTGGATTGAAGACCTCACGTTGTTTTGTTTAATAGACCGTGCTGAATAAGCAGCGGAAGACACGGCTTAGCGCGCCGCGCGATGGACCCAGCCCCAACATGTTAGATTCCAGGCCAGGGTTCACATCACATGACACCTGGGCTTCCCTTTCAATAACGTGCACACTGACCAGCATGGGAATATTTGGTAGAAATAACCCCAATAAGGACACGGCATGGGGTGGGGTGGGCTTCATATGGATGTAATAAGGGCTGTTATTATATATAGTTGTATGAACAATGCTGACTTAATGACCGTTCATACACAAATTAAACATTACCGACGCAAACAAGGCTCAATTTTCAGACCGGTAATTAGAAGAGGAGACAATTTGTGTGTGCGGTGTTAGCGCATTACAAATGTACGCTATTAATTAACGTTTGTGCAATGTAAATAAAATAAAATAAAAACATGTTCCTAAATAACTCTGTAAAAGCAGCTTTAGAAAAAAACCACTTCAGGAAAGCAACCAAAAAAGGGAGTTTCGATCTTGTAAAGAAATGTCTTGCAGCTGTCCAATGGCATCTGGTACTGATCCTGGCTGTGGTGGCTGCTGCTGCTGCTGCGTGTGTTCCTCTTGTTTTCAGACACACGTTTGGGTGTAAGGGAGGCCGTCAAAGTAGTTCTGGTTCAAGGGTCATCATTAGTAGCTGACTTCACAATATCTGAATTATGTTAGCACAAGTGGTTGCACTTAAAAAACAACCTTTGTAGACATCTGCCGGCTCCCGTTAAGGGCAGCGGTCCTCGTAATGCGCCGCGAAAAAAACGCCCCCAATCTCACTTTTGTTGTTGCTCAGAGCCCCGCGGAAAGCTGTAAATCGTCGGGCGTCTGCAACGTTTAATTTTAGAGCGGACCGTCATGCGTCGTGCGACGTGGCATAACGCGCGGGCCACCACGCTGACGCCACCACCACGTCCGCGTTGATTCGGCCTCGCACGTTGGCACGCGGAGCTCGACACCAAAACGTGGCCACTTCAACAAACCTAAGTAAACCTTCCTTGTCGCTCGCAGCGCCGGTCAGCCCAGCAAATGTGACAGCAGCTGCCTGGCAGCCAACCCTGAATGAGCACGCGCGCTTACTCAGAAGCAATTTTAGCTTTTACAGGAAGAGTGAGCTACCTGTCCCATTGACGACGCAAGCCAAACCGTATTCTCTGGATTATAAGATGCGCTTTTCGCCAGCCTGCATTTTGATACGTGCGTGTTTGTGTGTGTAGCGGTAGTGTAGCAGTTAGTAAACAACTGCACTACGAACTCAGCAACCTGAGTTCGATTCTCGCTCAAGGCCAACACCAGTGACGATTTTATGAATCAGTCCTGGGCCTCCCCTAGGTCGACTCGGCCTCAAATTAGTACCGAGTGCGGTGTGTAAACATCGCCACTAGGGAGACAAAGGCGGCCAGGTGTGGTGCTGGCCACCCATCCCCTCGTGTGCCGTGCCGGGCTTCATAGGTACTCGCTAACAGCACTTGCCCCGACAGTCTGTTAAGGCCACACGGGGAATCTCTGTCTTTGTGTGTGACCAGATTTGTATAACTTTATTGACACCGGGCACAAGTTTGGAGTGAATCTTACCTTAAAATACGCATTATAATCTAGATAATATTGTGTGTCTTAGCGTGCAGATGTGTAGTACTTCGGCTGTTGTGTCTTGGGCTGTCTGGAGTCTATGACGAAATACCTCTAGATTTAAAATTATCTGATGTGTCACAGCGAGTGCCAGGCAGAATATTGCCCGCCCTCTCTCCTTGAGCCTGGAGAGTCCTTGGATGGGTAAGTACCATGCATGCCAGGCAGTCATAGGATGTGCTATGTTGTTAGCACCAGAAGCCAGTGCAGCCAAATTCAATGTTGTATCGTCCTGTACTGTTTTTCTATGCCACCACTTCAATGCTCCCTTTATCAACCCGCACTGATCAGTGGTGATGTGCGGTTATATAACCACACAACCCGCACGGCCTGGGGAGGCCCTCATCCAGTAGCAGATGTACAAAAGAGCAGCACGCGTATCACGTGACGGCCGAACATCCATGGAGGAAAACAAGACTCTAAAGTTGCATTCTAGATTTGAAGCTTTCGTGACTGCAAGGATTCATATTCTTAGGTTTTTTCGGTAAAGTCACGTAGGTAAAAAATGTTTTTTACTTTTATTAATTTTAGTTTAAATTTTTTACCTACGTGACTTTACCGAAAAAATCTAAGAATATCTAAAGTTGCAGTCAGACGTGCAAACGCAGCACCGCAGTGACGTCCTCGGGATGTCACTGGTACATCTGGAGGCGATGTCAACACAACGACCCACCTACCCCTGACTTCCCCTTAAACATTCAATCCCCCCCGCCACCACTTCCCCACAATCCCATCACGTGCACGTATTCTTTTTCGCACAGCACTTGAGAATCATTCTTCACGTTTCATAAATTCAAATTCTGTCATTTTATACCGCAGTGATGTCACCGTCGTGTGCTAATACCGTGTGTTTGGCTGTAACTTGAAAGTATGTTTCTCGCAAGAATTCATACTCTTAGTTCTTTCGGTAAAGTCACGTAGGTAAAAAATGAAATTAAAATTAATAAAAATAAAATAAAAAATCACGACGTTTCGGAGGCAACACAAGTCTCCGTCATCACTTGATGCAGCAAATCTGGCTGTGACGGTCCCACCTGATGATTAATTTTAATTTAATTTTTTACCTACGTGACTTTACCGAAATAACTAAGAGTATGTTTATCTTTTTAATGTTGCCTTAGAGGGCAGGGCGGGGGGAACAGGAAGAAGTGGAGGGAACTCATCGTAGCCTCATGTCCCACAGGGGATGAAGAGGATTCACTAACTAGAGGTGGGGGACAGCATTCTCTCACCCGCTCTACCACCTAGGGCAGGAGTTGGCAAACCTGCGACTTCGGAGCCGCATGCGGTGGCTCTTTAAGGAACCGCTCCGTGACCGTTGTTTATTTCGGGACCGCCAGCGTCTCGTATTCACCGCGCACAATGCGGCTCATGAAACATTGAGTGGCTTTTTTGCTTTGTTACCGATAAAAACAAAAAAAACGCCTCTTCTCGTTATTTTGGCTGCCGACCGCCCTGGTATGGGGCGACGCGCGTCGCGAAGCCACGAATACGTGTCTGCACCTACTGGGCGGAGTTGTGCAACGCTGCCGATATTTTCGTTAAAAGTGGTTTAATATTGGCGGCGGTGTCGAGCGGGCGCCACGCTGGTATTTACCGCTTGCTCCTGCGCAGTTCTAAACTACTGTATAACTAAACAAAAAAAAATATTTTGCCAGGTAAGGCCCACCGAGCTACATAGATCTTTTTCAGAAGCGACCTGGCTATCACAAATGATAGCTCAACGAAGTGGCTTATCACGTGTAAATTCATCGCAGCCAAATACTCTGAAGGCATGTTCCTAAATGTGGCGGGGAAAAACCGGATGACCCGGAGAAAAATCCACGCGACCACAGAGAGAGAGAGACACGCAAACTCCAAATATACAGCAGCAGGCGTCAGGGTCGGGATGGAACCGACGACCTCCTGCATACCAGGCGAGGTAGTTAACATCTCCTAGCCACCGTGGTGATGATGATGATGAGAGAGACACGCAGACTCCAAATGTACAGCAGCAGGCGTCAGGGTCGGGATGGAACCGACGACCTCCTGCATACCAGGCGAGGTAGTTAACATCTCATAGCCACCGTGATGATGATGATGAGAGAGACACGCAGACTCCAAATATACAGCAGCAGGCATCCGGGTCGGGATGGAACCGACGACCTCCTGCATACCAGGCGAGGTAGTTAACATCTCCTAGCCACCGTGGCGCCTTCTACCTGCTTGGTGCCGCCCTTGGTGCCACTCTTGGTGCTGCCACCTTTGCCAGGCGGCTCGCCTGGCTCGGGAGGCTTTTCGCCTCCCTTCTCCCGTTTCTTGCTCTTCTTTGGCTTCGGTTGCGCATCCTCCTCCTCGTGCTCCTCCGGCTCCTCTTCCGAGGCGTCTGTGGGACGAGACCAGGCACGGCGAAGACAGAAACAAATCACGGGCCCGCGTTGATAGGCACATCAAAGCAATTGACACGCTCTCGGGGGTCTCTGGAGTACAGAGGGGGAGGTAATTTATTTCTAAAGGCAGTGCCAAACACATTCAGTGTTCATGCTATCAAACCTGAACCAGCTCCGCTGAGACCCTGGGTTCCTATTTGAGCTCCTGCCGCACGTGATTAGACGGCGCTGTCAAGTGGAGTGAGTGGATGGTCTGAACTCGGGGCACCCATGAGTGTAACAAAATTTCGTTCTCTTCAATTTGGTTTTAGACGAAATTTTTGCGAACAAAAAAAAACTATGATGGAAAAGTATTGGTGTGACTGCCACTCGACAGAGGTCTTTTTAGGCGGGCGTGCAGGAGAGCGTGTGGGTGGATAAGAGAGGTCGCTAAGTAGTTCTGTGATGTCTCCTTCTACGGGCCGTTCTCTAGCACACCGGATGATGCGCTGCGCTGTGAGGGCTCTGATTGGACGCTTCGTCGAATGCCATGACGTCAACAGCACCATGGGAATGACAAGGGGGGGGGGGGAGAATGACAAATAAATAAACACATTTAGTGACAAATACTAAATGCATTTATTTAGACCAACTGGAGTTCTATCTAACATCTGGTTATTTTGTTTTTTTAAACACACTGTATGGAGTTTATTACAGATGCCAAAGTAGGGGTGGTCACACAATTCAGGAACAGGCACCCGATTAAAAAATGCAAAGCTGATGATTATTGTCATGAAAGTATTATAAAACTAAAGATGCACGAGTGCATACACACTCGGACATGAGCCAGACATGGTGAGATACATGTTTGTGATGGCAGTGCCCTAGAAGCAAGAAGGGTGGACAGCCAGAAGGTGGCAGTACAGAAAGTAGATTTGTAAACTAATACCGTGAAGACCTCCAATTATAATATTGTTAAATACATTCCAATTGTACTCTGGGTGTTTTTTCACAGCAAAAACAAATCGGCCAACCATTCCAACGCAGAATCTTCGAGCGATAGTTTCCAATCATCAGCTGGGCGCCGGTGGCTTTTCCCGCACAAACAGATTTTGTTGCAAAACACAGGGCAACCGAATTATCACGTTGCAATGCGGTGCGCAGAGCACAGGATATACGTTCACAGACGACTTCTACTCCAGCCATTCTCGATCCGCCAAATAAAAAAGGGCTGCAACACGCCGTTCCGGTTGGCGAAGGGGCAGGGGCCATAAGCGGTTCCGATATCGCTTGCCACTGATGTCAGCTGTCCAGGGTGCAGAGAGAGGGAGGGAGGAGGGGTGGGGGGTTTGCTACGGGGCTCACGCAAAAGAGGGCATCACAAACGACGGGCCTGTTTTTTTTGTTTGTCGCTAATCAACGAGGGGGTTACAGGTTGCATTCTCTCCCTGGGCCTCCGGGAATCTACGGCCGGCCCTGTTAGCCGTTGCCGGGAATTGAATCTGGGTCGTCGAGTTCACGGCGCAGCGCGATAACCACTCTGCCACCGCTCCATTCCATGCCTCCACTTTGCCGAGAAGGCGAAGCATCGCTGCGAATCCATAAATTCACCAGCAGGCCGGGCTTGTCACGCGCGCACCTCATCAACACTCAGCTGTTCCATTAGCGAAATGCAGGGTCGCGGTTCGGCGCTCGCTTACAAACCTGAGCGTGCATTTAAACGTGGACGCGATTAGACAATTCGCTTCGTGGCATTACTTTAAATGGCACCGATGCTTAACCCGTACGGCGGACGTGCTAGGATCATCCCTCGTTCATCGGGCGGCGCCTCTCCCACAGGTCACCACGCTCGCAGCGGCAAGCGAGCGCCACTCCGTTTATTTGCCTGACACTAGAACAGTTACTCCGGAGAATTTTTTTTTTTAAGCTTCGTACTTTGCCACGGGCAACATCTGTGGCAACGCGAGCAGCGCCGAGGCCACAGAGTGAGACCACGACAACAGAATGCGACTCGGTGCCCGTTTTGGCACAAAGCGATTGGGATAAGAGCCCTGCCAGAGATCCCCCCCGGGAGATGGGAACTATTGCCATATTTATCCACCGCTCACACGGCATTGTGGGTAAGGAGGGCTGGTGTGTTGTGATGGGATGGGGGCCCTGGGGACCGACGCCTGTGCCAGGAAGGGGAGGGGTGGGTGGAGAGGGCGAACCCAACACCTGTTGGGTCGTGAGCTCTGGGCCGGCCAGGCAAACCATACACAACGGGCTACCCGAACGTCTGTTTGACTGCATCTCTTTAAACGGCAGACAGGACGACTTCACGAACGCACTCGAGTTCCATGGCGCGCACACAACAGGGAACAGCTGACGTAACGAGAAGCCATTTGAGCATGTAATTCATCAAACGCGCTAACGACGGAAGCCACCGTGCGTGCGCGCACTCGCCCCTGGCCAGAACCAACGCGAGGGCACGCAGCACAAGTGTCCTATTCACAAACAAGAAAATGACGGCTCTTGTGCGGCGCACAAAATGTCATCCGCCGTGCAGAGCCTTCGGAGCACAGAGATGTCATTCTTCGCCGGGCTCGAGACTCAAGATGCCGCGTCCAAAGTGGCCGAGCACGGCGGCGGATCGCGACGCCGAACGGCGGTGTCCCTGCGCATTCCTTTAATCGTTTTCCCAGCAGACCGCTCGGTTCGACGAACACCCCGGCGACCTCCAAAAATCCGTCCTCCTCCAAAACCCCCTTTCTCTCGAGCCAGACGCGTAGCGGCACGAGCCGGCTATATATAGCAAGCTTTTCTCACTGCCTGTCACTCGCCGAAGGGTCCGCACGTGTACGCGGGCGGGCGGGCAAAACGGGAGGGCGAGGGAGCGAGCGAGGGAGCGAGCGTACTTGAGGCTGCGTCGTCGCACGCGCGCGCCAGTCCACGGAACGCTCGTATTTAAATTCCGTCTGCGGGACAGAGGCTGCCAAGGCTCTGATACACTCCCGTGGCTGCCGCGCTGAATCCACAATCGCTCTCCGCGTCTCTCTCCGTCCGTGCTGAGGCCAGCGAAAAAATAAAAAGCTCACACAAGCGTCCGAGAGCCGCCTCCTGCGAGCCAAACGGCTTTCGTTCCGTCCGGGGGACGGCCCTCTCCTCCGATTAGTCCACCGGGAAGCGGCGGGCGGTGGACAGACAGGGGAGTCGTCGTTGACGCGATTCTTCTTGAAGCGGAAGAAGAAAAAAACAACGGACTCGACCGTCCCTGCCGTTAATTTGCACCGAAGCAAAGCGTAAACATTTGGCCCTCCCGATAAACATTTAACGTCTCCTGGCGCCGAACCAAAATGTGTTTTTGATCTACTTCAGCTGCAGAGCCTCTCACTTGATTCCTGGCTCCCGAGGCGACAAGGAGTACAAGCGGCAGGGACAGGAGCGACAGCACGGGAGACGAGATTTGTACGATTGCTTTTTTTTTACAAGCGGTCTTTTGCCCTTAGAGGGAGTTTGGCAACAAAATCGTTAGAACTGTGTCTAGAAACAAGGACGTCTTCTCCCGCCAAGGCCAAGAATAAACAAAAAAAACCGCTTCTCCAAAAACAAGCCTCAAAGGACAAGCGTGGTGGACACACCGGGGCGGATCAATGTCGCGGACTTAAATGTTCGGCAGAGCCGAGCGCCGCGAGCAGACGCGCGTGGAGGCAGCGTGGACTCACAGGTGAGTGGCCGGTGGGGCGAGCGCGACGTCTTCATGTCGGCGCGACTCGGGGGGGCGACGAGACGCCGACCAAGGCCGCCGGCGGTTGTCGCTGTGGCGGCCGTGAGCGGTGAGACTCGGGGCCAATCCGATGAGCCGGCCTGCCCCGCTTGAAGGTCAAACTACGCTCGGCATTTGTGCACTTCGGCGCAACTGCGCACGACGCTACGCTTCCACTTTGTGTGCATCCCAGCACGCGTTTATTTTTAGTTTACGCGCGCATCTTAAACGGTGCGTAGCTTTGGCCGAGGGAATTTTTAGTCGACCGTGCTGAAAGCGTTCACGAAACTTCTGACAACAGCTACGTTCCACCGAATGCACAACAGCGTGACAACAGGAGTGTGACGCCGGCAGAGGGCAGTGCAGCAGAATCGATTGTTGTACTGTACCATGCTGTTACGTCTATGCTCCCCGCCCTCACCGGCCCGCACTGGGGAGCGTGGTGCAGTAGGCCAAAATAACCCCCACAATCCGCATGGTGTCGGGAGGGCCGTCGTTCAGCAGTGGTTGGACAAAAGGGCTTTAACTCGTGCACGTAAATAATAACAAAAACAAGAACGACAACAACAACAACAACACTTATTGGGGATTTGTGGCTTCACGGACTGCCAATATTCCACTCGCACGGGAACGCGTGCGATTTGAAATATTTGGGGAATGCCCTGGGGAGTCATTCACCACCCGGCAACGCTCCGGCCCCTATTTTGGGTCGGTTGTGGCAACCCGACACTGGGCACGAGCACACGGCCGACTTTAAATCTTCGAGGAGGAGGCTACGTGCCAGGCTCCGTAGCACCCCCTCCTCTCTCACCCCCTTGTGAGGGTAATAACACCTGAAGGAGAGACGGGCTGGTTGGTGGTAGTGGTGGTGAGAGTGGCAGTTAGGAGTAGCAGCAGCAGCAGGAGAAGGGATGAAGTGGAGAGAACAAGAAGCCTCGACCATTGCATCTGAGCAGCCGGACGACATTAATTACGGTGACTGACGGCGTGAGTTTTGTACACAAAAGGGAGGCTGGCTTTAAGGGCCTTGTAAATGCCGGCCACCGTGTGTCAATATTGGCCGGGCTCAATGTTGACCGCATTCAATCTTGTTGCGTGCCCAAACTTTCTCAGACCTCTTCGGCCGTTTCCTTCCTTTGCACTCAAGGTCATTAAAATAAAAGCCCTGGGGGATATTTGCTGTTGTTGTTTGTTGTTTTGATTGCGAGCACGCGATAATGACGTGGAGAGTGACCGGGCTTTTGACGGCCGCCGCTTTTAACCCAACCTTGTGCTTAGAGGGTCTCGCTCAAATTAAAATGTTTGCTTTGAAAATGTGAGACAACTCCAACAAAAACGAAAGAAAGCTGCCACTTTATAGTTCAAATTCCTCAGGATGAGTCAACACACGTGACCGTGCTTGCTGGGTTGTAAGGGGCACGGGGCGTTGATGCTCACCGAGAACGAGTACACGTAACTAGGCCAAGCACGTGGGCCAACTCTGAACTTTCTGCTTAAATCAAGACTGAATCATCCTTTCCATCGTCCTCATTGTAAACACAGTAAACACATGACGAATTGCAGTGGTCTACGAAACGTAATGGGCACGTTTGCCAAGTGTGCATTGGTCAGCAGGATGGACTTGCAGTTCACCGGTTGTCTGGTTCAGTTAAACCTCCCGGCGCGGCAGTTGATGCAACGGTCAATGGGTACAACCGGCGAGTCGATCGGCATGTCGCGTGTGCTGGGGTAAAGTGTGGATATTCCCAGCTACTCCAAGACATCTGGCCAGCCCGGACGAGTAGGCCAACGGACCGCTCGACGTGCTGTCTAGAGCGACCTCGAGGCCCTTTCGCCACCAGTGGCGTGAGCGGCACCTTACAGACCGCCGCAGCTTTTACGATATTTCGATTGCGGCGAACCACGACATCCGCGTTCGTTAAATGTCCGCGCGCGAAGAGCGGCACTTTGAGTGCGGGCGCGCACGTGAACTTTCGTCAGCAAGCATCTCCGCAGAGAGCGATGGCCGTGGGTTTAACGAGTGTTCGAGGAGAGGGGGTGGTGGAAGGCGGGGGGGGGGGAACGAGGGGGGGGGGGGTCGAGGTTTATGCGGAGAGACGCACCCCCTGGGGTGCCGTCGACGCTGCCAACGATAGCGAGCGCTTGACATTCTCAGCTTAATTGCAGAGCCATCAGCCCTTGCGTGGCGGGGAGATTTCAGAGCCACCGATGCTCAGGGTGAAATTCCAGCCGGCGAGACCGAAACCACCCCGGGCCCTGGCGAAGCACGAGCGCGTAGCAGGCGGCACAGCGACACCATCTCCGGTGCGGCGGCGTGACGATGAGTGCGGGCCAAAGTAAAATCTGGGCAATTCGTCGCGCGCAAATGTTGCCATCGCCAGCGTGGCACGCTTTTTAATTTCGCAAACAACGGAGGCCATCGCTCTTTTTTTTTTCACCCCTGGCACGATCCCCGCTCTCGAGGGGGTCTGCCTGCTCTGCTCCTCCCTCTCTCTCTCTCTGCTCATTCCTGCCCTGGGCCATCTTTACATCCACTTCGTATACCTTCACATCCCGCATGCTTCATCGCTTAGAACCACTTCTCTCTGTCGGCCTGCCTCTCTAACTCCGCCCTGGTGCTTCCACGCTCATCATCACCGTTCTTATCACGACGTGGCTTTCCTCTCTTCTCACGACGTGTCCTTCCCAGACACCTGTGCCAACTTTCTCTAATCTTGTCTGAGTTGGGAACCACTATTCCCGAACCCTAACCGACTGTCCTCCTAGCTATCTAAGTTGAATTTCTCTAATCTTGTCCGAGATGGGAGATGGGTACCACTATCGCCAAACCCAAACCGACATGTCCCCTCTAGCCATCGGAGTTGATTTGCTTTCAGCGTGTCTGGGAAGGGCCCCACCACTCTCGCCCTCTTCCTCAGCTCTTCATTTCCGACGCGGTCCGGTGTTTGCGATCGCTGCGACCCACCTCGTCGTCGACGCCAGATCGGTGCACGGCATCAGCTCCTCCATGGTTTTCGTGCCCCGCACACTCGGACCCGCACCGAGTGTGCGGGCCTCCGGCTTGGGCCGCGTGCAGAAACCCTTCTCGAGTGTTCTCCACCAACGACCGCGGGCATCGTCAGGCGTTGAAGTGAAGATGCCCAACACACGGCCCAACTCGGAAGACCGCACTCGGATTACGAGTGCCTACGATAACCTGCGCGCTACTTTCAGACGCGTACGTCGAACCTGGCCTCATCACCGTCTTGTAATCACCATCACTGATGGCTCAGCCATGAGGCTTCGTGGCTGTGAGTTTCGCAGGCATCCTTTGCCTGGAATATGTATGCTGAACTTCTTTCGCACCGTACGTAGCTAACAGTGACAATCAGAGGTGTGGGGGAAGGACAACAAACGAGCAGTTATAAAGAAATGAGTTTTTAATATTGATGTAAAAGTGCATAGCTCCAGTGGCTTCCTAATATCAGAAGGAAGAGCATTCCAGACGGTCGCAGAAGCGCATCTGAAAGCGCCGCGCGATAGCTCGCCAAAAGCCGCCGCCACCGCCGCTGCGAGGTTGACCGCGGTTCGCGCGACGACGGTTTGTGTTCCCTGACGAGACCAGGTGAGGTGATGCGGTTCATCTGGCGGCAAGCACTTTGGATGCAACGAGCGCGGCCTCATAAATATCTCCCTGAGCGCACGCGACGAAGAACACTCGCACGTCACTGGCACCGTTCCCTTCCCCTTTCGTAACTTTGCTTGGTTCGCCCTTAAGCGTTGGGCGACTTGGCCACGTAGTTCGATGGCCACCAAGGTCGCCCCGCTAGCTTCGTGCAACCCTGCCAAGCTCCCCATTATAATTTTGCACTGCCCTGCGCCCGCCGGGAAGCCAATGCGATGTACCGTTACTGCGAGGCATTTGCCCGTGTATGTGTCTGCTAAATGGCAGTGCTTGTTCAGCAACATAAACTATCAATACGGTGGGGAAAGGCAGAGGTGCAGCCCTGCATCCACTGGAAGCCACAGTTCGTCCCACCGCGCAAGGCCTGCCGGTCGACCAACTGCGGGCTCACCCATTCACACAGCTGGGTGGACAGAAGCGGAGGAATTGACGAAGCTTGCCCCGTTGTTTTCAGTAGCCGTGCACGGATTGTGGAAAGATGGAATAGGCGACCTTTGGATTTCAAGCCCAGTGAGCCAACCGTTGCATCGTGGAAGCAGCGTCCCTCCAGCGGACGATGTTTTAGCCAGCACGTTGCTGTCACCGTGCATCAGAAACTCCGATTAATCTTAATGTTATTAATTATTACGTTTATGATTCGATGCATTTAACGTATAATGCTTATGACTGTGTGACCTTTTGAAAGCTGACGATTATGCAGATTATTGAGAAGTTGGCCTCAGGTCTTAAGGGCACACACAAATTCCAGAAACATCGCAGTACAGGAACATTTTTGAAATATGGTCATCATGTGCCATGGTCTATCTACTGCTGGATGAAGCCTCCACATGCCCTCACCATTCCTCACAGCTGAGTGCCTACGACTATCCACCTAACTCCTGCGCACGGAGCAATCTCATTGGCTCCCACTCCTTTGACTGCTGTTCCATCACCAGTCTCGTCCATTAGCCATCGTTCCGTCTGGTCACGTGTCCTGCCCAATCCCATTTACCTTTCGTAGCTGTCGTAATACGGCGTCTCAAATTAAGTTTGTTCCCTCATCCCCACGTCTCTTAAGCTTTTGTTCCACTCTCTTCAGTCGGCGTGCGTGTTTCTGACCCACGTCATCGCTGATAGAATGCACCGATCAAAAACCTTGCTTCTTTAGGCAATGACGTTCTCTTTTTCATCGTCATGGTCAATTTCGCAGATTTCTGTCCACGTGACGAGCCACTTCCCTTGAGCTGTCATCCGTGACCGCCAGGTGGCTTCTGAAAAATAAGCTAATAGCTCAGTGGGCTTTACCTGGTAAGATAAA